GAGGCGGAGTCAGAGAGTCAGTCAGAGAGTCAGAGAGTGGAGAAGGAGATAGAGTGTGGTATTTGGGAGATCTAAGGTGATTAGAGTGAAAAGTGAATAAGAACTGTAATAACAAATAGAGGTTTGTGATTGATGATAATAGAAGTTAGCTATGATTAATATTCAGAGATCTGTAATGAATAAAAATGTTTTATTTAAAAGACAGTGAATTTTGGACCTGCATCATCATCCTTCCATAATTAAAGTTGATTTAGTGATCAACTGGTGGCAGCGGAGTAAAAAGTAGTAGTAGTTTGCCTTCGTGTGCTCTCTGTTTGAAGGTCAGGCAAGGGACATGAGGGTGAATGCCACAGTAGCCTTCACCAATCCAAGGTGAATCCAGGGTCCACATAAAGGCTGCAAATGCTGAAACTTACTCATTAACACAGGAGAAGCAGGGGCCATATTTATATCTACAGGACCTGTATTAACTACAGCATCAAGTCAGAGCAAGTCCAAGCAAGTTTGCCCACAAAGTGCTATGCAAATTCTTCACAGCAAGGTGCAGTGTGGTCTGCACTATTTTCCGGGGGCCAGCATGTAATAGGACCTTGACCACTTGGAAGTGCTTTGCTGAGTATTAACACAGGAGAAGCAGGGGCCATATTTATATCTACAGGACCTGTATTAACTACAGCATCAAGTCAGAGCAAGTCCAAGCAAGTTTGCCCACAAAGTGCTATGCAAATTCTTCACAGCAAGGTGCAGTGTGGTCTGCACTATTTTCCGGGGGCCAGCATGTAATAGGACCTTGACCACTTGGAAGTGCTTTGCTGAGTGTCTTTCTGGCCAGCATGTAATAGGCCCTTGACCACTTGGAAGTGCTTTGCTGAGCGTCTTTCTGCAAACAAAATGTGGCACAAAAGAATCACCATATTTTTCCGTGTATAAAATGACACTTTTCCCTAAAATAATTAGAGGAAAAGCTGAGTGTTGTTTTATACATGGAAGGAAGCAGTTGTGCGCGCCCTTGGGCACCTCTTGCTGCCGCCGCCACTGCCCAATTGCCCCTTCCAGAGCTCACGGCTTGTCCCCTCTGGTGGTCCTGAGGCAGCAGGAGGCAGAGGTGAAGGAGCATTCACACACGCTCGGGCACCTCTTGCTGCTGCCTTCCCTGCCCCCCCCATCACCACCTCCACTGGGACTGATGGGCTCTGCTCACTCCCTGCCTTGTCCCCTCCAGCGGCGGAGGCAGCAGGAGACTGAGGCGGAAGCAAACAAGCACTTGTGCGTGCTCGGGCGCCTCTTCCTCCACCAGATCACCTCCTCCCACAACCTCCTTAGGGTAGGGGACAAGGCAGCAATGTGAGCTGGAGGTGAGCCCCGGCAGTCGCACTGGAGGAGGTAATTGGGTGGGCAGTGGAGATAGCAGGAGGTGGAGGTGGAGGACCAGTTGCCCATTAACTGCTCCTCCGCCTCCATCAAGGGTCAAAATTAGGGGGGTGTTTTATACATGGGGGGTTGTATACACTGCAAAATATGGTACTTCTTTCCTGCCACCACTGCCACTAAATAGGCCTTCCCATGGGCTCTAGCCTGTGTTCAGTTGGAATTTTCTGCAATTGTCACTCTAGTCTCCATCTCATTTGTTTCATCCCCCCAGTAAACCTGGAGGTAGTCTGAATGCTTAGGAGAGATTGCGTCAGCAGTCCTGGCCATTTCCCCATTCCAGAGCTCAATCAGAGCTTCAACAAATTGCCCATCAAGGCAACATGGAACTCCTGAAGAGCCATCAGGAAAACATTTGGATCCATCAGCCTCCTGGAGTGGGCCATCTTAATCAGTTCCTCACCCCTGGAGAGGCTCTGAGTTCCGGTAGGTCTAAACCCCACCAGATGATATTCTGTCCATGACAATGAAACTAGAGTGCTCCTTCACACCCACATCACCCACATCTACTTCAGTACAGAAAACTGTTTCTAAAATGTGCCCTGAAGCATGAGTAGGGGCAGATACCATTTGGGACAGACTCATGGTCATCATGAAGGACAAGAAGTCCTGAGCCACTCCTGACAAAGCCGCCTCGTCATGAATGTTATTGACACCCCCAGCCTTATCCAACCAAGTCTCTGCAAACCAGATTAGCTTGCTCATGCGGGATCAAGTCCTGGATGGCTGTTGTTTTCCCATTTACTGGTCTGGCATTTGGTAGCAGCTTTTACGACCCAGGGGGCCTGTCTCCACAGTTATCCAAATTATTTAAATTTGGGGACAGCGTTATGGGCAATCAATATCCTTCCCCCCGACTTCTCATATGGGGGGGGGAAGGGTGCTGTTCCTTACGGTATCTCTCCCTGTCCTGAACAATTCCAACAGCTGCTCCCTGGCTTACCCCACTATTCTTTCCCATAAAAACACATCCATCCACAAGCAGACCAAGACCAAGTTAGCAACTTCTCTCCAAAGTTGGCAGGGGCTGGTAAAAATATCACAAAAAAACTAAAATGAGAGGTGATTAGTTGGGAAAGTTGTGGTGTTTTATAGTACAGGGAGGAGGGAATATAAAAGGGAGTTGCTGAAAGGGTCCTTGTAGAGGTCTGCTGGTGGCTGGGGCTAAGGGTCCCCTGCTGTTAAGCACACAACACTAAGTGTGCACTTAGTGTTGGACTTTGTGTGATGCAGAGGTGCACATAGAGGCACCGACCCTGCAGCTTGTGCTGTTCTTATACTTGCAAGCAGGACTGAAAGTGGTGCAGTCACAAGAATTTGAAACTTCTCCATAACAGCATTTGAAAAAGTGTAATATTGTTTTGCTTGTAAAACAGTAGAATAGCACCAGGATTTAATAGTACCAGGTGAAAACTGTTCATAAGGAATAACAACCATAAAGAAGTTGGGAAAGGGTAAAGCAAGGACATCTGATCCCTGTTGAGAAAAAAATCTCAACAGGGACTCCAATTCAGACACTGCTTGATTTTCAATAAACACTTTTTCTAATTGGGAAATCATTTGCGGCAAAAAGAAAAAAGAAAAAAGAGAGAAGAAAAATGGCATCTGAATAAGTCTGATTTCATCTGTTGACTGCTGTCATTGACAAAGGGGGAATAGGTGAGACCGAGACTTCCCTATCCTCCTGTAAACTAACATCATTTGACAATGAACTACCCAAAACCGCATGCTTTGACAATAAGCCTTGCCTGATCCAAGGCTCTGCAGAGGCAGGGGAATCCTTGGAGGAATGATGGCTAGCTGAGGTGCATTTTGCAATGTGAACTCTAGATTGCTTTAAAGGGGAGAGAAACAAAGTGGTGGCTTCTTCAGATCCTTTTTTACCATCCAAGATGGTAGCCACCATCATTGACAACTGAGAGAATTGCCACTATGGGAGTGCTGGATGCCCCAACCCTACCTGTGAAACCCTGACTCTCTAATCACAACCTGATAGATCCAGTGTTAGAAGTCTGGGTGAAGACTGAACCCATGAATCATAGGGGGAAGGGGAGAAATGGAGAATAGACATGGGAGCTTCGTATTTGTATCCTTGGGGATATGAATATGCAGTGGGGCAGGTGCCATGGAGGTTCATTCCAGCCCAATCCACTCACTGGACTTTGTGTGGCCATCATCAGTAATATTGTGCCAAAAGTGGAAGGAGCCCAGCCTGTGCTTCTCTGCACCACTCACTACTACAGCGGGCTGGATGATGAGTCTCCCCACTCAGCTGCTGAGTGGTCAGCACCACAGGGAGGTGGAGAAGTGCTGGCCGGGCTACTTCCACGATTGGATGATGATGGCCACACACATTGTGCCATGACTAGTAAGTGGACCAGCCGGTTCTGGAGGGAGGGTCCAAAGGGCCCAAATATCCCATATCTAGTAGAGACATCTAGTCAGTCACCATGGCAGCAGTCTTTACTGATGACCAGAGCTTGAACTGGTAGGATCCATGTTGCCTCAATCCCAGTAACCTGAGGGGACTCAGGAACTGCACCTAAATGGCCACCTTAGTGGCTATTGGTACTTGCATGGCATTCTCTGCTCTCAAACAGCTTGGGTCCAGGCTACCTGAAGGTCCCTATCTCCCTATATGTACCTTCTGGGCAATTAAGATCAGCAAAGGAAGCCCTCCTCTCCATGACAAATGACCTTAACTTCTGTGTGACAGTTCCCAGGCTATGGAACATTCTCCCTCAAGAGATCAGGATGGCCCCTTCCCTTTTATCCTTCTGAAAAAAGCTAAAGACCCATCTCTTCAGGCAGGCTTTTAACAATTACAATTGAATCCCTGAACCCCATTTTAGCAGGCAATTTTAATCTTTTCTATGTTTTAATCTTTTAATGTTATTTTAAGTCATATATTGTTTTGTAATATTTAAGCTACTGTCTTTTAATTGTGTGAATTTTAATGCTATGAGCCACCCCGGGTCCCTTTGTCGGGAGAAATGTAGCATACAAATAAAAATCAAAAAATCAAAATAATATTATCTCAACAGTTGGAGGGAATCCCCTGCATCCATTATAGATCTACCTCATGGGAAGGCAAATAAGGTGAAAAGGAAATTTTCTATGACCTTAAAGAATGGAGCTTAATGAAGAACTAGTTCACTGGAGCTAGACAGGAGAAGAACTGGGAGGGTGTACTCAGGCAATGGAAGGCTATCCAAGATGATTGATAGATTAAGCTTGCCTGTGGAGTAGGAAGAGCTTACAATTCTAGGCTGCCCTCTTCCACTCTAAGAGAAATGACCCTAGCAGATTTATTCAGTTTAATATAGGAGGGGGAATTCAATGGCCCACCCACACACAGCAGCTATTTTCATAAATAAGATACAGGACCTCCCATATCATTAAACTGATTTCTTTTTTTTTTAATTAGAAAACATAAGTGATTTCCAGCCATTTTGTTTTCCCCCATTTAAAATTGGGGTGATCAACAATGCAGTACACTAGATGGCATACATTTGGAAACAAAAGCCCCAGGTCACTGTGGACAACACTCAGCAGCAATTCACAACATAGAATGCAATGTAAACAATTTTATTACAAAATCTAACATGATCATGTTTGAGGGCAAAAACAGGTATCCATACTTGTATGATATGCATATGCTTAAATAGTTAAAAGGTTATTTTAAGTGGCCTCAGCAGAGCCTGGCTAAAGCTTTCAAAATTAATTTGTAAAGCTGTAGGATAGTAAAACTACACATGTTCAAATTTCAACAAATATCCAGTTTTCATGTCTAGCAAATGCTTATTTTTTTTAACAGTTCATTAAACAAAATACAGCCAGTGGCTGCTGGGTTCCTTTCACAGATTTGCAAAAACAGTGGGTGGTAGATCTAAGAAAAATGTGCAAGACTGAATTAAAATTTAGTCTGAGTTGTATCACTGATTCCATCAACCTTCCAGCCCAACTCCAAAATGGGATCCTTGCAATAGCAAGCAGATTTGCAAGCATAACGGAAATAACCACTTTCCACAGAAGCGGGGAGATGGAATTCCTGAGCCTTTTAGAAACTCTAAAAAAATCACGTATTTCTTTTATAAGCATTTTGATGTAAATTCCAATATTTTTGTGCAATGCAATTCTCCCTTGTGTGTACAGAGGCATGCCGATTTGTCCATGGTAATAAATTGATTAACCACTACTCCCTCTTTGAGAGGGTTATTAATGAGTTATTAGTAAGTTATATTGCTAAATCAATGAGCTATAAGGGAAATAATTTTATTTTTCAAACAATTTTCTCATATACGAAATACATACATTGTAATAAAAAAGATTGTGTGTGTAGAAATAAACATGGTTAACCATATCAGAATACATTTATATCCAGTGCAGGTAACATTTTCATTCAGTCCTCTATGGCACACAAACTATTGGCCTTCTTTTTGTAGCTGTCCAGGATTTCTCTTAAACTAGCCAATGGATCTTCTGACATAAATTCATGAAATTGTCGATCAATGTTTGTATTCTGTTCAGTCAGGTACTTCTAGAATAAAATTATGACAGGTCAGATTAGAGTCCAGTATTTTGTTTCCATTTATATTTAGAAATATATCTATGAAATCTTAGATTTTGTTCAGATTAGGTAAATTTCAACAGGAATCTGTAATATGTTTTATTTTTATAAAAAATAATGTTGCAATAATGAAACATTATGAAAAGCAATATAATGGAATGGATCTATTTTCTTGAAAAATATTTGCACTGATCCAGGTATCATGATCCACAGAGAAGCTTGATCCTACATACATATCACTAGCTGGTAGAGATGGGCAAAAGCCACAGTTCAACACAGCACCTGCACAGGTGTTCTGTAGGCACCACGTGCTTCCCTCCCCCATGCAAACTCCCACTCACTGGCTACAGCATGCTTCCTCCCCTGCCTTCTCTCTGTGATCGTCCACTCAGATGAGGAGGCAGAGCAGCCTCCGGTGCTGCCAGTGAGTCGACAACTGTGCAGAGAAGGATGGGGAGGGAAGCAGATGGGAAATACCTGTGTGGACACCACCCCAAATGGTGGTTCATGCCCATCTCTACTTGCTGTTATCAGGTATAATGGTATCACTTGTTTGATTACAGATATCTATCCATGTAGAGTTTGCAGAAGACAGACACTAAGATTTTATTTCTGAAACACAGCTGTGATATACAGCTACAATCAAAACAGAGAATAAGGGCATAACCTTTTGTGGCCATTTTTTAATTTTTTTGGCATTATAGCAAACAGCCATCTATACCCACTTTTTGAATGGTCAGAAAAATATCAAACCAAAATCAGAAAAAAAACAGCTATAAAACATAAGCTTAATGGTTTCCAGCTTACTAGGTATAAACAAGTTGGAATTTCAGAATGTATGTGAAAATAAGAGGATATAATCACAATGTCCTGTATTATGCTGCAGAAACAGTGCTTCAAAGGCCAAACACAGGACCTTCTTTGCATGCAAACTTAAAAGTTCTAGTACCAGACTGCGTATGACCTTTGATGAAATAAAAGAATCACAGATTAATGTTCTTTTTTTATGCCAATTTTAGCTAGTATGGTGTGAGTTACCTCCACTGACTCAAGATGAGCGAATATCAATTCCAGAAGATGTTGCAGATTTTTCTCCACTTTCCAGCTCTCTTCTGATGTTGTTTGCATAACCACCTGGTATCTGCGAAGTAAATACATTAATAATTATTATCTGCCTTCAAGACAATACCGATTTATAGTGACCCTTTCCAGCATTTTTAATGTACAGAGTACTTATAAGTAGTTTGTTACGTTATGTACCATCAAGTCAGAACCAACTTATAGAAACCCTAATAGGGCTTTTTAAGGTGAGATATTTAAGGAGTGACTTTACCAGTTCCACACCTTCAATGAGTTCCGTGGCTGACCAGGGATTTGATCCCAGGGTCTTGAGTCCTAGTCTGTCACTCTGTCCACTACACGAGCCATTCTCAATGGGGGCCATTTGGCCTCTTGGGGAGCCCTGTTTGAAAGAGGGCACAGGCTAAAAGTGATTATTCACACACCACCTTACAAGGTTCATTATGCAACCATGCTGATACGGACTACATTTCTTTCATTTTATGTTTATGGCCATGGCCAAAAGAAAAAAAGATTGAGAATGTCTACACTATACAATTTACTGTTCCCTATTTCTGGGGGCACCTTGCAGCTTGCCCACTACACAGGCTGGCTCTTCTTGCAGAAGGTACAAAGGAGAATCATATTCCTGGCTCCAGTTCCATCCCACGGAGTTATCCAGCCAGCCAAATACATCATTAGTACAATCTAATGCTCTACTACAGAGGTGTCAAATGCAGTTTTATCTTGGGCCACATTGGCATTATGGTTGCCCTCAAAGGGCCGGTTGAATCTTTAGGACTATATAAATGTATCTACTCTTTATCATATTAAATATAATCCTCCTCATTTGATTATTACTGGTCTTAGTAATAACATAATAACTAGTTCTGAAAGTAAAAGTCTATGATCAAAGTTTAGAAATAATGGCAAGCAGATAAGAATGGGAGTGTGCAATAGCGAGGACTGTTTCCAAGGTGCTGTATACGCCACCAAAGCGGATGCACTTTCTGACTCTTTGCTGCTTGGAGTGCTGGGATTAGAAGTCCCGTTGGGCAGATTCCCGCATCCTTGCAGAGCATTATGGGTGACTGAGTAAGCGCCTGCATATTGTATACTGCACAGTAGCAGGCAACACTGTGAGGGCCACATGAAATGGCCGGCCAGATTTGGCCTGCGGGCCTTGAGTTTGACACGTGTTCTACAACAGTGGTCCCCAACTTTGGGCCTCCAGATGTTCTTGGACCACAACTCCCAGAAGCCTTGATCACCACTTCTGCTGGCCAGGATTTCTGGGAGGTCAAAGGCTGCTCTATAACATACTTCAGTTCTTTTATTTAACAGGCTCAAGCTATTTCAGTGGGTTTAGTACTAGACTGTGGCTCTGTTCCTTGGACTTTATTTAATAAAGACTCTTTGATATGTATGAGGAGAGTTTTAGTGTAATTTAATGAAAGACCTGATAAAAACATGTTTTCCATTAAAACATGTTAAAAACCCAAGTTCTTGTTCTTTTGGAATGCTTTTTTCAAGCTTTCCCCCACCCCCCACCCCAGATGGTATAGTGAGCTGGGTAAATACTGCATTAATTTTATAGAAAACTATCCTATTCGTAAATTACAATGATTATACAAAATATGGTGATTTGTATGACGCATGCTTCAAGACTGTCTCATCTAAGTCTAGTTTGATACTTCATCATGTATCACTTCCCTCATTTAAATTCATTTCTCTAAATTCATCTTTATAGCATAAGATTTACCTTAACAACTTACATAAGAATCCTGTGTGTGTTTACTTCAAAATAAGTCCTATGGAAGAATGCCCATTTCATATAGTCCCATATTGCTGAGGTTGCCTAATTTTCATAGGGACAAAGATGAAATGTGCACATACATAGTTTACATTCACTTTTCTTACCCTTACCTCTCATATGTACCAGAGGCACTTTTCACAGGCTAAGGATTTAGATAATCTACTACTTAAATCTAGGGATAATATTTTACAAATAATAATTTACCGGAAAATAAGTCTCAGTGATTTGAAGAACAGAGCTTATTTGAATTGCAACTTTAAATGGTAGTTCTAAATTGCTTTGTGTAACACTAGAATGAGAAACGACAAATACTCAAGTACAGTATGAACAAGCATTTTTCTAAAAAGCCTAGGGTAAGGAATACAGCATCTGAAAGGGCAATTCTATATACTACTCAACTTACTGGCACCGAACTTCATGTAGCTCTTTCATAGTCTCACTGACACCTTCATTGACTCCATTATAAAGCAAGCTTTTATGTTTCTCCAACAATTCAAGCTCTTTGATACTCTTTTCTTCTTCTTCTTCAGCTTCCTTCAACAGAGATATGGATTAATACTTTATAATATATTACAGACTCTATCAAGAAAGGAAACTTTTCTGTGACTTACTATATTTTTCCATGTATAAGACTGTAGTGTTCACCCTTTGTTAGGTATAAGTCATGTATTATTCATGTCTATGCTAATGTGGTCAAGAGGCGGAGCTGAGAGAGGTGTTAAAAGGCAGAGCCTGAGAGGAGTCAGTCAGGAGTGAGTGAGTCAGTCAGAAGAGATAGTTAGAGATGGGTTAAGATAAATAGATAAGGTGGAAATTATATGGCAAAGAGAATACATGTACATCTGAAGAACTTCTGTAATTAATAAATTGGCTTCACTTTAATAAATGAGTGTTTGCACTTGTATTGTTTGCATTCACAATACAAATGTCTGATCAAACGTCATTATTTTGTGGATTGAGGTAATCCACTGGTGGCAGCGAGAGCAAAACGCTACAGGAGCCTTTGCGAGGGCACAAAATGTAGGTGCCTCAAGGAGGTTAACGTCACAAAGACGACCCCCACTTCTCCAATCCCAAATAAGAAAATTTGATCGCTGCTTTCCCCCTCCACTTCCTAAGCCCGGCTGCGGAAATGGGGGGGGGGTAAAGCAGCAATCAAAGGGCTGCGATCCAGCAGCCCTTTCATTGCTGCTTTACCCTTCCATTTCCTAAGCACCACGGTGTGCATGCACACCCCACTCCAGATCCACTTGCAGGCGAGAAGGAACAGCGCCCACTGCTTCAGATCTGTGAAGCAGCAGCAGAAGCAGAAATGGAGCGGGTGGGTCCCAGCACAGAAGTACCTCCAGACCCCACTGATGAGCATAGGGTAGGCAGTTTTGCTACCACAGTTTTCTCCTTGGCTTACTTCCATGTAAAAGACGGCCCTAAATTTTTCCCACAAGATTTTAGGAAAAAGTATAGTCTTTTACACAGAAAAATACGGTAATCCCAGGGCCTTCCTCTGGTGGATCCATGGAAAACAAACAGATGACCTGCCTTTTCAAACTGCTGTTGGCCAGAGGCCCTTTAGTCCTGCCTGCACCATTCAAAGAAGTAGCTTTTCTATCTGCATTTCTATTCTATTTTCTTTTTCCCAATTGCAGGTTTGGGAGTTGGGGGGTTGGCAGAGAACTGGGCAATGCATAAATGCCATCATTGACCTGGACAACAATTAGGTCAGAATATCACCCAAAGGGCAAAGGACAGAAGAGGCATCAATCTGTGCATCTGTATCTGGTTGTGGGCTGGGTCTTGGGGCCTTTGCACATCTCTCGTGGAATTGCCCTGTCCATTACAGATTTTTGTCATGTGCTAAGAGGGCAAAATCAACCATTTAGAACTTTTCATGTTTTTTCACCAGCACTGTTCCTGTAATTCATTTGTTGGTGAGAAAAATACATTGAGGACAAGACAGAATAGTTGCACAGTACATTTTGATTTATAATGGTAGTAGACAATTGTCTGGAAACAGCTTATGTTTGAAATGCATTATAGCCTCATGGAAAAGTGAACGCAGCACTTTCAAGTACAGTGGTTCCCCGCTTGGAATGGTAGTAGACAATTGTCTGGAAACAGCCTATGTTTGGAATGCATTATAGCCTCATGGAGAAGTGAACGCAACACTTTCAAGTACAGTGGTTCCTCGCTTGACAACGTTAATGCATTCCAGCGAAAATGTCGTCAAACAAAATTGAAAAACCCATTGAAACGCATTGAAAATGCATTCAATGTGTTCCAATCGGCTGAATACATGCTTGTCCAGCAAAGATCCTCCATAAGGGCGGCCATTTTTTGTGCCTGTAGTGCGAAAAATCAGTCCTAAAAACAGCAGGGGGGCATTTTCTTCAGCCGGTGGCCATTCTGAAACCCGACGATCAGCTGTTTGCTGATCGTTGTAAAGCGAAAATCGGTTCCCAAACCAATCATCGTACAGCGAAAAAACCCATTTAAACCATCGTTTTGCGATCGCAAAAGGTCAACGTTAAGCGGATTCATCGTTAAACGGGGTAATCGTCCAGCAGGGCACGACTGTAATAACTTTTAAAAGTAACATGTTCTGTCTCCTAGTAATCAATTTGAAAATATTTATTTAAAAAAATGTCATACATTTATAATGAATAAATCAATCACCCTTCAAGTAACACATTTGTCAATATCCAAATCTATATAGAAATACATCACCTACCTTCACTTTCTGTTGACAAAGATCTTCAAGCTTTTGGGCTTCTTCTCTTAGCATTTTCACACTGCTGATCTGTTCTGCTTCCATCCTGCTCACCTTTAAGAATGTGAATTTAATTAGTAAAAGGTGTCAGCAGGAAAAAGAGAGAACAGCAAGTGCATCTTGCAGTGATGATAAGCCAGGCCATTCCCAACATGTTAAGCGATCAGGAAACAATCCCAAATCAACAATCTGTTCAGATTTTGCATCTGGAGAATCTACATGTTTGCTTTTGTCTATGTGCAGTGATGGGTTTAAAAATGGGCAGACTGCACCTGTTGAGAACTCAGAAACCAGACTGCAGCTGATGAGGGGTTGAAATCCTTCCAACAGTTCCTCATCTTACCTTTCTTCTACTATCAGCTATCTCCTGCCCTGCATACCAGCCACCTGTGCTTGAACATCAGTGGAAGAAAACTGCCCCAGGGAGGGCAAGCTAAAGAAAAAAGCTACACCTTCTGTAGACCCTGGACAAAGTGCAGCCCGAGGGCCACATATATCCCGCAAGCCACTCCCGTCCAGCTCGTCATATATCCCGCAAGCCACTCCCGTCCAGCATGCTAGTCGTCACTCCAGTCCGGTGTTCAAGCACTTGTTCAAGGCCAAGACAGACTGGATTTCTCTCATTGAACAAATTCAACATCAAAACCATTTAGAGCTTTTTGTCTAAAGTTGATTGGTTGCTTATCTTTAACATACCGCAAAAATCCTCTTTAGTATTTGTGAAGATTAACAAGTTTAAAATAAAAACAATCATAACATCACTGTTTCATTTTATTTGTAAGTAAAGTTATTTTGGCCCACAAGCACAGTTCAGATTTTTCATGTGGCCCCCTATAGAAATTAATTGCTCACCCCTGACCTACTGTATGCACTTATTTCCATTTATTTCTCTGGGCTTCTTACTGAGGCCAAAGTAGTTAGACACTCACCTGTTCTAAGGCATCCTCTAAACTAATTTTTGTCTTTGTAGCACTGGCAATTTCGTCTTCTGTCTTGTTGATGAGGTCCAGAAGGGGAGTCTGCCATTATACAAGCAGCATAGAAAAAGAACACGAAGATTTCTTATTAAGGCACACAGTCCCTATAGCTTTATTTAATGAATTTCATACACACTGACTTTGATAAACTGAAAAAAGATAGTTGTTCTGGATTTTTCAGGCTCTTTGGCCATGTTCTGAAGGTTGTTCTTCCTGACGTTTCGCCAGTCTCTGTGGCCTGCATCTTCAGAGGACAGCAACCTGTGCTCTAGACCAGTGGTTCTTAACCTTTGTTACTCGGATGCTTTTGAACTGCGACTCCCAGAAACCCCAGTCAGGACAGCTGGTGGTGAAGGCTTCTGGGAGTTGCAGTCCAAAACTCCTGAGTAACCCAAGGTTAAGAACCAGTGCTCTAGACAGCACAGAGTGCTGTCCTCTGAAGATGTCGGCCACAGAGACTGGCGAAACGTCAGGAAGAACAACCTTCAGAATACGGCCAAAGAGCCTGAAAAACCCAGAACAACCATTAGATCCCGGCCGTGAAAGCCTTCGCAAATATATTGAAAAAAGATACTTTTATGGTACTAAATAGTTTATGTCCTGGAACAGTTTTATAATATCATACACAGGGAAGTCCTATTTAAAGAGTCTTCCCCCACTCCACATCCCTTGGTGCTCCCTGAACCAGCTCCAAAGGGTTTCCAAGTCCTCTGAGCAGGGCTTTGGAGTTCATAGGGGATTGCAGTGGGGAGGAAAAAAAATCTCCCTCTAGATTACATAACCACAAGAGACTCTGTCAGTAGGTACTTCCCAGTGGATTTAAGCCAGAGATCTGTATTCTGGCACACAAACAGTGCTCAAGCGTGTTCTTCTGTATATTATGTAGCGGTGATTCCCAGTAAAAACTGAGTGATTCTTGACCTTTATCTGCAAACCACATTAACCTCCCCATATGTTTAAACGTATTTAAAAAGTGTAAGTTTTGAATTTTATTTATTTATTATTTATTTATTTATTTAATTTATATGCCGCCGATAAGAAACCAGACATTCTAAATTTCAGATCAGCATTCTAACCACACTGCTTTGGTCAACTTAATCTGAGGGTAATCACTTTTTGGGAGGGGATGAGAGGAAGTCTCTTGTCCTCCTCACATTTCTTGATCAAATCTACATGTAAGTGCGTAGATCTTCCCCTCCCTGAGGGAGAGAGAAACAATAATGAGAAACGGGAATACTGAAGCTTCCCCTCCTGAAATACTGTCCCTCAAATGTTACTTGCATAGGTTTAACTACAATACAGTGAGTGGCCTGAAGGGGAAACTAGACTGCCAAGAATTTTGCATCCAGTATTATTTATTTATTTAATTTATATGCCGCCCACATTACCCAAAGGTCTCTGGGCAGCTTGTTCAAAACTTTTTAAAGAGCAATGACAGGGAAATGTAAGCATAAACATACACGAATCTGAGTTCTGTATTTGTCCAGACAGTTTGGTCCTGCATCAGGATTAAACTTAATTTCAAAATCAAGGCCTCCAGCATTCTTTGAATTTACAGGAAGAAGTTTCAGCTTCCGAGCCAATCTGTGATAATCTGCCAATGTGGCTTCAATCTGTTAAATAGAAAAACAAAAGACAAAACAGAAAATACCGCTTTTAAACCTGCCGGTGATCATATGAATAAAACAAAAAATAGGATAGCTTTATAATAATTTACTTTTGTATGTTTTAGAACATTGGGTTTGTCTTCAAATCCAGCATTTTTTTCAATTCAGAACTGTTTCATGCTTGCTCATAAAAAATAGTCTTTTCAGATTTTCTTTAGAAATGTATTTCAAGAAATTCTTCAATGGCTATTAAATTGCTACCTAGATAGTCACCCATAAGAGAACTTTGCTATGACAAAAATATGCTCCACTGTAGCTGAAGTCAGAGGTAGTTTTTGGGAAACAGGAAAAAAACTACCTAACTAGTTCCCTTTGCTTCCTTTGCAAATTTTGTAAAAATACTATGCTATTATTCTGTCTCATATCCAAAGCTGCTTCAGAAACCCTCAGAATAAACAGTAAAATGGGTATATGACCAATAATTCTTTTACCATCAGAAGTTCTGCCATTTAATCCAATTTTTGAGATAGCTAGTTATGTAGTTTATGTCCAATTTATGTTTAGTTAGGTAACTATATATATTTATGTAAGTAATATGAATGCCATTGTTAAGACCTTGGGATACTAATAATAATGGATTTCACAAAACATTGGTTTTAGATTCACATACTGCCTCTCTTCCTCTAGCATATTTTAATTCTTCATTCCATAACTGCCGTTGTTCTGCCTCCAGTTCCTTAGTTAATTTGTTGACTGTCTGCTGGAGCTCCTCTATTTCACAATTTAGTCTCTGAATATCTGAAACGGAATATTTCTGATTTTCACAGATGAGCTTCAGCCGAGCATTCTCCTCTTTCAGTGCTTCAATTTCCATGGCTAAAATTAAAAGAAATATGTAAAACCATTAGAGAACTAGGACAAAACACTAAAGTAACAAACATTGTTAGTGGGGAGGATAGCATTCAGGAATAAAACTACAAACAGCGTATGAACATAAAATTTAAAAGGTTAAAGTAAATCCAAAATTAAATGTCTTCTATCCAACATCTTCTGAAATCACTAAGGGTGGAATAAATCTTATGGCTTATATTATAACAGAGATGTAACAATTTCACTAGAGCTTTGATCTTTTGATGTCTTGGGTATATTTGTCTCAATGGCCACATACTGTATGTTCTTTGCATCTCATGAGCTCGGTTTCATGTTTGTAAAACAAACTACAGTAGAACAATTTTACATACAGTAGTGCCCCGCTAGACGATTACGTCGGAAAATGCCAAATCCAGACGATTTTTTTGATTTCTATAGCGCTTCGCAAAATAGTGTTTCCTATGGGTGATTTTCGCTATATGATGTTTCGGACCGTGCTTCGCAAGACTTTTTTTCGGGACCGTTTTTTTGCAAGATGACGATTTTGACAGCTAGGTCCGCGACTTGCAAAACAGGTGTTTTCAGGACCGTTTTTCGCAAGACAGCGATTTTAACAACTGATCGGTGCTTCGCAAAACGGTTTCTCTCTGGGCGATTTTCGCAAAACGACGATGATTTGTCCACATTGGAACGCATTAAACGGATTTCAATGCATTCCAATGGGGAACCGCATTTCGCAAGACGATATTGTCGCAAAACAGTGATTTTCATGGAACAAATTAACATTGTCTTGCGGGGCACCACTGTACTCCTCCCTTCAATCTACATTCCCACCTCCCTCCAGTACAGATTTAACATTGTCTTGCGGGGCACCACTGTGCTCCTCCCTTCAACCTACATTCCCACCTCCCTCCAGTACAGAGCAAGTATTTCTAGGTCTGAGGTTTCTTATAATACAGGTGCACATTTGTTAGCTAGTGATTTCATTTCGTGTGGGCTGTGTGAAACATAGTGGCTTTGATTTTATGACCTTTTGGAGCACTCATGCAAACTTGCCAGTTATGACTAGAGATGGTTTGGCAGTTTGTACTTTGTCTGAACAGGTGTTTGGCACATCCCATAGGCAATATTTAAGATACAGTACTGTTCAAAAATATATAAACAGTTCCTTTAGGACCCTAGATTCCGTACAGAAATATGTAAATATGCATGCAGACATAACAATTTTGCACTGTATATGATAATGCACAGATTTGTTTTTACTTGTATGATAAGTAACTGAGATTAATTGCCAGCTGTATTTGAATATGTGCTAAGACTGATAATTATGACAGTTGAGAAGTGTAAAATGTTTATGAATGGAATTGTGAACAGATTGGTCTGTATAGTTCTTGGCTACAGAGATTCTGTTTCGAACGGAAGAGTGTGTATAAGAGTGAACTATTCAGAGTTTTTCATTAGACTTGGGAGTTACACAGAAACAGTGTTGGGTAAAGGTGTGTGACCATCGCAGTATATAAATAAATAGTATACAAGACCTCAGAAGAACTAATGATATAATTTAGAGCCATAAATATTGCCTATAGTGTTAAAAAAATAATGGCTTTTTTGCTTTGTTGTCGTCGTTCCTCTTCCCTTAGTATTTCCAAAATAGCTTTTTTTTTCCATGCTGATCTTTAAGTTTCAATATCTACACTGTAAGTAATTCCTTTCAGGGAGTTCTTGATCAACAGGAAGAATGCAATAAATTGTTATCAACACTTGATCCTCACCAGCAGCCTCATGATCCGCAGTAATACTCTCTGATTTTTGACTGATACTGTTCAAATGAGATTCCAAATTGTCCATGTAAGCTTCATATTTTTTAACATCTGCCTGTAAAGATGACTTCAGTTTTCTTAGAGTCACTAGACGGTCCTTTAACAGAAGTAAAAAAATAAAGCAGGAAGATTGACATTTAGTTAAAGTACTGCAATTGTGTGTATATCTCCTTCACACAATCATGCAGACATTTACTAACCGGCTCACTTTCTCTCTCTTTTTCACGACTTGCAATCTCTTTATTCAACCTTTTCAATTCTTCTTCTAGAGCCTCTACACGATTTTCATGTACTTTAAAAAGTTCCTCTGAAAGAAAGCAAAACAGAGTAACTCAACACATTTATTATACTGAACATAGAGGAGGTTCTGGTGAGGGAGGAGGCAGCGTCTATACTGAGCTCTGCTCCCTATCTAAAACAGTTTTTAACAGGTATATTTAGAAAGGCTAAGTCTAAAAATTTAATCAATCTGACTCCCTACAGCTAACCGGTGACGGTGGTAGTGAAAGCCAGGACAAGACCTGTAGGAGGTGGTGAGTTGTTACTAAAA